ACTTCAATATATGTATATATAATTTTAGCGATTCTTTATTGTGTTTGTACTGTGGGCGAGCATTGGCACAGCACTGGGCGCCTTCTTCATCCTCAGCTATCTCCTGAAGTTTGTCGAGCCGCATGTCTATCCATTCGGCTGGCTGAAATTGCTTGCACCTGTGGCTGTCATTCGTTGGCTTCTCGCGTACGAAACATTTACAAATACAGCAATGTGTACAATATTTAGCATCTCCGTTGCCACGGCTATTGTTGCATTTATCTTTTTTGGATCACAGGTGAGCAGCTACTATTTGAAGTATACTCAATGCCTGTTCGACTTCGAATTTCGCTGCGGGTACTTTTGTGCAAATCCGACCAATCACTTCGGGTACTACCATGCAGAACCGCGTGCAGTCTCGTGCAAATTCGGCTTAATTCTGGTAGTATGTTCCTTGCTGACCGTGTTTTAGTGTGTGGAAATATCCTTAAGGCCTGAAGACGGTTGTACTGTTGAGAAAGCCAGTTACTATCCGGTCCAACACGTTTCAAATAACTATTGGTAGGATAATTAGTTTGTTGGGATCTCAAGCCACTTTAATATTCACGTTTCAAGATTCATCACTGCAACTGTTTGCCTGTCATACCAAAGGCAGTTTTCACTAAAACACTGTTCTGAAGTGATAACTTTTTTTGGAATCAAAATAGCTATGAAATTGTGACTTTTCACGTGTAAAAATTGAGGGGAAATTTGACATATTAACAGCTAGGAAGTTGTGACTTCAAAATATATATATATATGCTTTTATATAAAGATATATAAGTTGTATATATGTATATATAAGTAGAAATTCGGTAAAATAAGAGTGGTGGTTGTTGTGGCGCAGGCTAGCAAGGAAATTTATCGCTAACTGTAACAAGACAACATAAAAAAAGCAAGAGTCGTCCGTAAGAATAGTCTGAGGTAGGTCTTTCCAAGACGTCTGGAGAGTTTAACGACTCCGACATATTTTCTGAAGCGTATACCAAATAAAGACCTGATTTAACTCTTAATTCAGATCCATGCGCTTAATGAAAAAGAGGAACCAAACCAAGCAAACAATCCCCTCAGTGAGGAGATTCCTGATTTACAAAGGGTTGCCACAGAAGGCAGATTATCTTCAGCCCTATGTTTGTGCTAGTCAGCAATTGGTCTTGACCATATTTTTATATTTCAGTAAGAATTATGATGGCTCATTATAAATGGTCGTAGATGTTATCTCCCGATTTAAGATTAGAACTGGCGGTGCTTGACAAATTGCACTCATTTTTGCTTATTATGTGTGAGTTAGTTTTTTAGCTGGTAGACATGAAGCAGCGGCAACTTGGCACTATTGTCTTGCTTTAAGTCGAAGACTCAACTCAGCCAGTAGGGCAACCAATCCCTCTGCAATTCGTTCACGATTGTAAATTGGTACTGGCACATACTGCTGAGTCGAGACCACCATTTCCTAGCTTTTCTGCAACCTTCACAAAAGGGAGGGGGGCAGCAACAGTTTTGCAGCCGGGTGTTTGCTGTTCATATGTCATTACTCGCGCCATTTTCGCACACATCCATTTCCATACAGAATGAAGGAATAGATGTTTTACGAAGCGTTCTGTTGCAGATGTTTTATACATTAAATGGCTACACGATGTATGATTATCACACGCTGTGCCGGCAGTTCGAATTACACGGTGATGGTGAGACATACTCGGAAAGGTGCGTTTTAGCAGTATGTTGGAGTGACAGTTTTCTTTGTCTTTTCCTTAAAATAATTCCTCTAAAATCCGATGCGTAATGAGCAGATCGACAAAAGAGAAGGAGGAACGCTCGTGCAAAATGAAACTTTTTTTTAAACTGACTTTTTCAGCCAAAGCCCTTTTTTTGTTTTCACGCTTCTGGCGATTGCATCCTCGGCTGGGTTTTCTGCTCTTTGTTTTATAAAAGTTTCAGACACCTTGCATTCCTTCTCCCCACTCCAGACGTGTTACTGTTCTACTTACGGAAACACTACTTTATGGCGAGAACAGTGCAAAGTGTCCTTACTAATCTCCCAGGCAGGTCTTTGTCAAAACATGTCTTTTTAGTCTGCAGTGTTTCATTGCAGATTGCATATGATCTTCGGTCATTACTGGCTAGTAAATTTCATTTTTCCGCTGCTTTGTTGCCCGAATCAACTGACAGCCGATGTCGCACGAAACTTATTTTCCGCATATTCGAAAGATATGTAATCCCGCGAATATATGAACCCGCGTACTTACATGTTGCCATGAGTTGATATACTTGGATCAGCTTTGACTGACAGTTCGCTTTTCAACTGTGCAGCTAGCAACTTCCTTAGATGCTTTGATCAATGTAGCTTGTTGTAAGTTTTGATTTTTCTTCTCCTGAAGGGTCTACCAGCTCAACAGTTCTTTTGACAAGCATTTCACCTGTTGGTACCTTTTTTGTTTGTTGCACTGTACCTGTTTTACAACAATGCTCCGAAATACTAAAGCGTGTGAAGTGATGTTCTACTTGTGACTGGGCTGGAGTGTCGTTTTTTTAAAGCTTTTGGTCTTTTTCAAAAAATTTTTGCATTTAATTTAGCATTATAGTATTTCTAGTCATTTCTGGTCACATAGTAACATTTCCTGATTTAGGCTTCTAATTACGCCGGTCATTCTCATGCATTTTGGAAGCCCATTGAAAGAAAAAAAAGGAAAAGGCGAATCTCTTTCGCA